TGTTCAGACTTTATTTGTAGTTTTCTTAGACAGTCCGTTAGATTGTGACAGCAGTTCTGGGTAGCTTATGTTATGGATTCGTATTGTTATTAGCTAAAATTGTTAAATTTTCATTCTTCCGCTCTATTAATATCCGCTGTTTATAAATGTTAATTTATAATTGTTAATGGATTAAAAATAAAAAGGATAAAATAATTGGCTTGCCTAGCTTACACTAGTAGGCGCCATCACGACTCCCGAGGGTGGGAAGTCCGGATCGTGACATTAAAATAGATCTTGAAAAAGCTCTTGATAAGTTAGAATGGTCCTTTATGTCTTGTATCACCTCAACATCCACATCTGTTCTAGTGAATGGCACAAAAGCTAACTTCTTCCACCCAAGTCGGGGAATCAGGCAAGGTGATCCAATGTCTCCCTATATTTTATTTTATGCATGGAAATGTTATCAAGATTCATAAACTATCAAGTAGATATTAGGTCATGGGATCCCATTACCCTGGGGCACAACTGTCCTCCCCTATCCCACCTTTTTTTTTGCAGATGATCTAGTTCTAATCGGCAATGCTAATAACAAAGCTGCCTCTTCTATTAGAAATTCTCTTAAGCATTTCTGTGATCTATCTGGGCAATCCATTAACTGCACCAAGTCTAGATTAATCTTTTCAAAGAATTGCAAGAAAGCAACTAGTACCAGTATTTCCCTATTACTAGGTATAAAAATTTACAACTCTTTTGGTAAATATCTAGGCTTTTCAATTATTGATAGTAACACCAAACACAAAGACTATCAATTCATTATTGATAATATGAGAACCAAACTTTCTGGGTGAAAATGTGATAATTCAAACTTGGTTGGTAGGGAAACTATAATATCCTCAACTCTTTCTAGCCAACTAACGCACTACATGCAATACACAATGTTACCTCCAAAAACTCTCAAGAAAATTGACCAAATTCAAAAAATATTCCTTTGGGGTACGACTGATCGAAAAAAGAAGCCGCACCTTGCCAATTGAAATTTGATAACTACAAATAAATCTCAAGGAGGATTAGGATTAAGAAAGGCTACAACCAAGAATTAATCTTTATTAGCTAGCCTAGCATGGAGATTAGCCAATAACACCACAAACTTATGGGCTCTTACAATGCTCCGTATGTATTCTCAAAAACCTAGTGAAAAGGGATCCTTTATTTGGAAGAATATTATTAACGGTTGGAAAATTTGCCAACAAGGAATCTCCTGGTCCATTCACTCATCCTCTTCCCTAAATCTATGGGAAAACAAATGGATCCCCAACTCTAATAACCTTAGAACCTATGTGATTGGCCCCCTAACCAAAGAAGAGAACTCTCTTACGATAAGGGACATAAGATCAGGAAACAATTGGATTTCTAATAAAATATCCTTGGATATTCCACAGGAGATTAAAAGCAATATTATATCCACTTACATCCCAAGTGATTGTAATAATGACTCTCTAACCTGGAACATAAATGAAAATAGGATCTTTACTACCAAATCGTGTTACCACCCCATCGATATTGGATTTCAATTGGATATGAATTTTGCACAGCCCAAACAAAATCAAATTCTTCATGTGGCTTTGTAATCACAATAAATTACCATATCGTAGTTATCTATCTCATATAGGTATGAACAAAGACGAGCAATGCACAATTTGTCGTAGGAAATCAGAAACTATCACTCACATTTTCATCACATGCCCGCTGGTCCAATCTCTATGGAATGAATGAGGATTTAATACTAGTAATTTCCAAACGAGTAACCAAAATTGGCTCATGTACCTCAAGGAGAGATATCCACATCTTCCAAACAAACACCTATCTTGGAGTTTTTTGTTTCCTTTCTTAATTTGGAACATCTGGCTAATAAGGAACAACAACAACATTAATAACAAAACTACCCCTATCTCCTTAAAAAGGATTTCCAACCAGTCCATTGAATTTAATTTATTAACTGATCGTGAGTCCAACTGGGACAAAAAAATTGGCATAACAATTAGTTGGTCTAAACCTCCAATTGGCTGGTATAAATTGAATATTGACGGAGCTTTTGATAATACAAAAGTTGCTGGTGGTATAGGAGGAGTTATTAGGAACCATAATGGGGACTGGATGTAGGGTTTGCTTCAAAACTTACTTCTAAAACACCAATAAAAGCAGAGTTGATGGCACTCTACTAGGGACTTTGTATTGCAAATAAGAGGAAGTTTTTTCCTTTGGAGATAGAGACTGATGCTACTCAGGTAATTTCATTCATTAACGAAGGATGCAAAGTTTATGATACTGTTATTCACTCATGCAGGTTGCTTCTGGCTCAAATGGACAAGGTGATGCTACATCACAACTTCAGGCAGGGGAATGAAGTCGCCCACAGTCTAGCAAAGCATGCAGGAGTCTTGCCAGTTTACAATAAAATTGAAGTTTGGTTGTTTCCCCCACCTTTTGTTCTGGCGAGGATGCTGGCAGACAAGAGTGGTTTTACTTTTGTTAAAACTATCTCTGAAAAATATTATAGAAATCTTGCTATGTTTGGTAATCTGCATGCTATGCATGGAATATCATCTAATGATCCACAGGATCAAACTTCCTTATGCATTTCCTAGTTTAAATATTATGAAATAAATATATTTTCCATAAAAAGAAAAAGTTATTACATATATTACGTTTTCCTAATATATTACCAAACGACCCTTATACCGTGGGTGCACTGATTTGGAGGAGACTTTTATTTGATGGAGCAAGCACTCGAACGCATAAAAGCAACCTTGTAGCTTTGTGCTTTTATTTTCTCATATATTCCTTTACGCTACCACACTCCTTTTTCCTCTATTATTTTTTTCCTTTTTTCCCTTTAGCTTTTGTTTTTCTTTTTCCTTCTTTGGGCTGTCTTTCTTACTTCTGGAATATATAAAAGTTGATGTGCTATCTTTATTTGCTTTTTGTTTTATTACTACTACAATTCTCCAAAGCGGTGATGGCTCTGTTAATTACTTTGGGTATTTTCAATTAATTTCTTTAGTTTGACACTTAAATATATAAATTGAATTTATTAAACCATATATGAAATAGTGTAAAATTAAAATTAGCTTTATGTAGTATGGACAAAATGATAAAACGTAAACATCTATTATCAATTTTGTGACCAGTTTAAATTAACAGCTTGTTTGGATGGTTGTTACCTATTGCGTCACGAACCAAAACCCACTAGAAGTTGTGATGGCGCCTAATATCATCGCCAGGCAAGCCAGTAGTGAATATTTAACTTAATTACTCATTTTAGTATTTTTAAAATTATAATTTTTATCAATTAAATGGTAAGAAATAGAATTTACAGGGTTACTGATAATGTTTTCACAACTACAATAAAGGGCAACCCATAAGCAACCCCAAAAATCCGGTGTCACAAGTGCATGAGCATCAACTAGAAAATAAAATAAAATACAATATCTGTCTCAGATATAAATTAGACAGGAGAATACAAATAACTCCGATGGAGACTCTGCATTCTGCATGCAGCTCACGGTAAGTCCCTGCAATAGCCGCGCCTCTACAGCCAAAAGATCACCAGACTTATATGTACCTGCACAAAAATGTTCAGCAAGTGTAGCATGAGTACGTAAATCAACGCATACCCAATAAGTATCTAGCCTAACCCTAGAAAAGTAGTGATTGGGGGTCGACATCGACACTTATTAGTGGTCCAATAAGACAAATACAGTGAGAAGTAAACAGATATGGGGCAGAGTAAATAAACAAATTAAATAAGTGTAAATACGTGATACGGTCTTCCTCTCGACAATAGACTCAAGCTCTCAATTAGCAATTACCTCCTCAACTAGAGCATATATATATAATGGACCTCACCAGATAGGTTAACATAATTCAAATCAGGAAGACTCATAGATACACTGACTTCTTCCAAGAGAATATTTCGCACGATTTCCAAGAGAATATTTTATAGAAATGTCGAGGCGAACGGCCCGATCACATCATAATCTGTGCACTGCAGAGGGTTGAACGGTACGAACCATAGATGTATGTATCCTGCCGAGGCGAACGGCTCGATCCCATTAGAATAAGAATCTTTGACGGGTCCTTGACCCCACTCATGAAGGAATTTGTGAACTATAAGGAGCTTTGAGGAAACCTTCCGTTGAGAACGCGTAAAACGCGAAAAATTAGTAAGAAGAGTACAATTATTCTGCGGCTAATCATGAAACTTGTCAAATCTCTACAATAGCAAGTCTATCACTCTACATCTATCTAGTCTCAAGTAGTAATGTGAAGTAGAAGAATATAATAAGCAAGAGATAAACCAAATAGTACATTTATAGTATGGCGTGAACAAGAGTCTACCCGGACAATAACATGAATGTAGTTACGTACAGACTCTTGTCACCTCGTGCGTACGTAGTCCCCGCAATAAGTAACACATGTGAACACCTAATTTTTTCCATGCATGGAAATAACTCCTAAAATGGATTAAAAGTAATTTTAATGGATTTTAGGAGTTTTTCTTTATTTATTTGCATTTCATGCATGTTTAATAATTTAAAATCATAAGAAAAATCATAAAAATTATCACATTTTAATTTCATGCCATGTTAGGTTTAATTTGCATTTTTTAGGAATTAGTCACTCTTTAATTGTTAGAATTAATACATAAAAATCAAACAAAGTATTTTTTAGTTTTTACATGCATTTGTTAATAGATAGATAGAATTATTTTTGCCAAATTAGATTTAAAGTTAGGTTTTAATTTAATATTTAATTTGTTAGAATTTAAAATTAAAAGAAAAAATAAAGAAAAAGAAGTAGATTTGGTCTGTCAATTTCGTCTGGGCCAGCTTAATTTGAAGCCCAAAAATTCCAAATTACCCAAGCCCATAATATCCCAGTCCACTACCCAAATACCCATTCCCCAATATTAAAACCCTATCTCCTACACTCTAAAAAATACACATTAGAAACCTAATAAAAAAACCACATCTGACCAAAAGCACATTAGAAACCTAATAAAAAAACCACATCTGACCAAAAGCGTCGTTCCCCCCTCACCCATCTTCTTTTTCCTCACTTCTAACCTAAAAACACAAAAAAAATCAAGACCCTCATCTCTATCCTGGCAACGGCACAGACCCCCCACCTCTTCTTTTCCATTCCCTCGTTACCCTCACTCAACACTCAATCACACACACATACACGCCTGGACTACTGAGAGAAGAAGTTTGCACTTCAAAATTTAAGATCTAGAAAACTAAAAAAAAATCGAAAAAAGGGATTAAAAGGTTGTTTGAATTTTGCTTCATGGCTTTATCGTTTCTGACTTTACAAGACTTTTTTCTAGTTATATGTTTGCTGGTTTGTTGCTGCTTCCGCTGGTGGATCTCACTCTTTATTCCAGACCTTGCTTGGTCATTTAGTGTTATTTTTACAGCTTCTAGGTATGTAAATTCTCACATATTCTCCTCTACTTGAGTCTATGGTTTAAATTTCGGATTGCTCATATTGAGTTCGTGATTGTTTACTCAGATTTTGATTGTGTTAATTGCTTATGGATTGACTATATTTGAATGTTTAGTATACCTATTCAATTGTGGTATTGTAAAATGTCCTCTTCTGTTGCGCCAATTGATTGATATTGGCTCATATAATGCTTAGGTCTAATTTGCCGTTTATGTATAATTACTGTGCGTTTTCATTGTTATTTTGAATGAAGATTGTTATATTCAAAAAGGTCTTCTTTGATTTATGATTCAAATAGCGCTAAGCATATGAGTTTCATCGCCTCAATTTATTCATCTGTTTTCTTGGAGTTATGTACTTCTTTTATGAATTCCACTGAAATCTTTTGGATAAGTTCATATTAATCGTTTGCTACTTTGGATTAAGTGGCATGCTTGCTTGATACAATTATTAGATTGGTGTATTAAATTAATATGGCAATAAGTTTTGTTTAGCTAATTGGATTTTGTGAGTTGATTTGTTATATTTGGATTGGTTTGTGTTTGATAAGCTTCAAGAGGAATTGGGCATGAACGTAATGCTAGCCTTTTATCCACATTTATTTCATAATTGTAATAGTCAAATCTTACACCTACCCACAAATTACCTCCATAATTCGTGGCCTTACAATAATCTCAAAGTAGGAAGAACAATCTTATGAATATCGTAGTTTGCTATAGGCGCGATTAATAATGATTTATCGTGGCGATGGGTACGGTTCCCGTGGCATGGTCACGATACATAATTCCAAATTCGGGTGTGCATTTCATGTGACCCGACCACAACTTCGAAAAATAATAAAAATGAACATGTTGTAAATCGCGGGTGCATTTCATGTGATACGGTTTGCAATGTGTACCAACACGATAAGTGTACGACAATCGTGGCTTGTTCTAGAAATAAATCCATAAATAAATAATAGCGGTTAAAATGTTAAAAATGCATAATAGGTTTAAAACATGTAATAAATCAGATAATGAGGCCAATTATTAATAGTTGAGCGACAGTGCTAAAACCACGAAACCCGGGAATGCCTAACACCTTCTCCCGGGTTAACAGAATTACTTACCCGGTCTTCAGTGTACGCGGACCATAAATAAGAGTCAAATTTTCTCGATTTGGGATTTAAAATAAACCGGTAACTTGGGAAACCATAAATTATTCCAAGTGGTGACTCTAAAATTAAATAAATAATCCCATTTCGATTTATGTCACTTTAATTGGAAAAACTCCCTTATACCCCTTATTGGGTAAAAAGGAGGTGTGACAGCTCTGGCTACTCCGCTGAGGAAATGAACCCAGAACATCTGGTTCAAGGTTAAGAATTCGAGCTTAGAAATGTTATAGTTGGCTTTTATCTATTATCTGATTTTTATATGTTTGAGCCTAATGTGCTCAATGCTACTTTTTACTGCTTTGATATTGTTTTAACTGTATATAAAACTGTCACGAAACCCTTCTTCTCTCTGAGTCTTCTAAATCTTCTGGGAAGCGTGAGCTTCGCGTGACTTCTTTTCTGTTAGAGTCATATCCTAATTTTAGAACGAGGTTCAGATAAGTTGCAAAGCCGATGAAGCTTCTGTATTCCCGGTACTCTGCCCTCCCCCCTCCGGCTTGAGCTATCAGCTCGAGTAAGCCAAGTCTAGAACAATACACCCAGGTTTTAAACCTAGAATGACATAGCCTCATGCTGGATTCCTAGTAGGAACGCTTGTTTGCATCACGTGCATTTGACTTTGGAGACTCAACACAGGGGTTGGGTCCGTCTAGGACAAGTGTACCCAAAAATTTAAAGACCATCTTGATGCATCCTACGTGCTACTTGCGCATCTATTTGTTTCGGCTTGCATGTTGACCGGCTTCTAGAATAAGGAAGGAAAATCAAAAAAAAATATTCAAAAAAAAAAGAGTGAGAGGTAGGTATTTGGAAAATTCTGAAACTCTGCCAAAATTTTGAAAAAAAAAAGAGAAATAAAATAAGCCAAAGTTATCAAAAGTCATGATTCCCTGTTCCGTCAAAATTGACCGAACTACGCGGGTCTGATTCTCACCGGATGTGAGATACATAGGCAAACCTAATCGGTTCTGGCCCATTTTTTTTAAAAAAATCCAAAATTTTTTTCTCTTAATTCCTTCTTTAGAAGCATTTCCTTAGAAAATTCAAAAAAAAAAAAAAAAAAGATTTTTAAACTAAAAAAGTAGTTTCCTTCTTTCTGAAGTCTTTCATATGGAAAAAAAGGAAAAGAAAAATCAATCAAAAATCAAAATCCAGAATATGAGTTTCCTTTATTTTGAAGTATTTTTCTCAAAAATCCAAAAAAATTAGAACCAAAAAAAATAATCCAAAAAAATATATTCTTTTTCCTTTTTTAAAAGTCTTTCTTTCGTAAATGTCAAAACAAAAATTAAAAAATTGAAGTCCAATAATATTTTCATTTAGAAGTACTTTTGTAAATTTAAAAACAAAAAACTCAGAAATCCAAAATATTTTCCTTAAAAGTCCCTCTTTCAAAAATTAAGAGGCGACATCCAAAATCCAAAAATATTTTCTTTCTTCTTTAGAAAAAGAGAAAACAAATGAAAATTCAAAAAAAATTCCCTTTTTACTTTTGAAATTCCCATAAATCAAATCAAAAGAAAAGGAATTTTTAGAAGTCTTTCTTTTAAAAATAAATAAAATCAAAATCAAAAAATAATTTTCTTTTGTCTTAAAACTTTCATGGTCTGAGTTTTATAAAAAGTAAAAAAAAAAGAGCTACCTTATTTACTCCATTCTCCATCTTTCCGAACTATGCAAGATCTGATTCATGCGGCGTCATGATACGTAGGCAATCTGTCACGACCTTAACCCGGACCCGGTCGTGATGACGCCTCTCGTGAAGACAAGGCCAGCCGACACTTCCCATTTTCCAATTATTAACAGTTAAGTATTTAAGAAACGGTCTAAACATGATAAAATAAATCTGAAATAACAATGATAACATAAATATGCGGAAGAACACCGATACACAGCCCTAACCACGTGTCACTAATGAGCATCTATAAGTCATAATACAAAATTCGTTAAGTCAATAAACTAGTACAACTATCTGAAAAGAGATAGAAGCGATAAAGGAGTAGAGACACGGGGCTGCGGACGCTAATAGCTACTTCATGAACTCCGAATGTCTGCCTGAAGCTAGAGGGATCAACACTCGGGAGCGGAACCAACTACTCCTGAATCTGCACACAGGGTGCAGTGAGTAAAGTGAGTACTCCAACTCAGTGAGTAACAAATGTAAATAATGATTGAAAGTAAGAAAATACGTAAGTCACAAGGTATTCTATAATGAAGTAGTAAAGCTATTTAAAAGCAGTAAACCAGTGAAAAGTTAAGTAACAATCCTTTTTCAACAAGTAAACAGATAATTGACAAGCAGTTAAGGTAAAGTAAACAAATGGAAGTTCACCCCTCGGCCACAGTATCAACAAATCCGCCCCTCGGGCAACATCTCAGAACAATACCAGCCCTTCGGGCTCAATCTCACATCACAATGGGTACCCGCACTAACTGGGGTGTACAGACTCCTAGAAGGGCCCCTTATGGCCCAAGCGCAATATCAAGCCACCTCGTGGCATCATCACTAGGCCCTCGGCCTCATATCAATCAAGCCACCTCGTGGCGTACATATCTCACGCCCTCGGCCTCATAATCAGTATCAAATGTCTCCTCACAACATAGGCCCTCGGCCTTACTCAATCAAAAATCCTCACAAGCCACTCGGGCTATAGTAAAACAGTGTTTCTCGGCCCAAACATCATTTAAAATATCATTTATGTATTAAAACTGAGTAAACATGGCCGAATACGAAAACAGTGGAAAATAACATGACTGAGTTCAAGTATATAGTCAAAACAGTGAGGAAATATCAATAAAAATCCCTGAAGGGTTCAAATAGTTGGCACGAAGCCCAAATATGACATTCAGCCCAAATCATGATGATAGCAAATAGATTTCAACCAAATACGCGGTAAAATAGCATTCGGGATGGACTAAGTGACAATCCCCAACAGTGCACGACCCCTCTCTCGTCATCCAGCGTGTGCCTCACCTCAATATAGCACTAAGATATGCAAAACCGGGGTTTCAACCCCTCAGAACATCATTTACAATCATTACTCATCTCGAACTGGTAAAATCTCTATCTCGCGATGCCTTTGCCCCTCGAACGAGCCTCCACTCGCGTCGAATCTATCGAAAATCAGAACGAGGATGTCAAAATAAGCTAAGGGAACGAAGCCCAAGCGAAAACAATCAATAAATGGCCCAAATCCCGAAATTACCAAAATCCGACCCCCGGTCCCACATCTCGGAATTCAATAATTTTTACTTCAATACGTTCCTTATCTCCCCACGAGTTCATACATATCAAAAGTTCTGAAATCCGACCTCAAATGGTCCTTCAAATCCTCAATTAAAGGCCTAAATTCCCAAGCCCTAGTTTCCCCAATTTTCACCCTTAATTTCCATGATTTCTAGCCGTAATCCATGAAATAAAAACATAGTAACGAGCTTTAGGTCCAAATTCCTTACCTCAATGAAGTTCCCTTGAAATCCCTCTTTCAAATCACCCAAAAAGCTCCCAAGCTGAGATAAATATGGTGAAATAGCTCAAAATTCGTGAACGCTACAATTTATACCTTCTGCCCAGTCATTTTTGCATCTGTGGCACAATACCCGCTTTTGCGGTACCGCATTTGCGGTTATTTCTCCGCTTCTGCAGATATCACTTAGCTTATGATTTTTCCGCTTCTGCGATCCCTCATTCGCATCTGCGATATCGCAGATGCGGTCCATCTCACCGCTTCTACGGTTCCTGACCGCCTCATCATTTTCTGCTTCTACAGCTGCTCTTCTGCACGTCCGGTGTCGCACCTGCGGTCCCCAATCTGTAGGTGC